TGAGGCAGCATCCCACATGCCACAACTAGAAGGACCCACAACAAAGAATATACAACTATCTACCAGGGGGCTTTGGGGAGAAAAAAGAAAAAAATAAAATCTTTAAAAAAAAAAAAATCACATTCTCCACGAATTTCCAGAGGTAGAAAATGAATAGAAACAAACAGAACTGGAAACAGCCATACGTTACCTTCTGCATCCTTCAGATTTACATTGCTGTTAATGATTTCTTCATGGTACAGCTTTTTTCACTTTTAAAAATTAAAGTATAGTTTACATATAGTAAAATTCTCCCTTGCTAGTGTACAGTTCTGCAAGTTTTCTTTGTAAAGATTTTATTTTTCCTTTTTCTCCCCAAAATCCCCTGGTACATAGTTGTGTATTTTTAGTTGTGGGTCCTTCTAGTTGTGGCATATGGGACGCTGCCTCAACATGGCCTGATGAGTGGTGCCATGTCTGTGCCCTGGATCCGAATTGGTGGAACCCTGGGCCTCTGAAGCGGAGCGCAGGATCTCAACCACTTGGCCACGGGGCTGGCCCCAGTTCTGCAAGTTTTGACAAATGTATACAGTTGTGTAACTAACACTATAATCAAGATAGAGAACCGTTCGGTCCCCACCCAAATTTCCCGACCCCTTAACCCCTGGCAACTACAAATCTATTTTCTGACCTTAGAGTTTTGCCTTTGCAAGAATGTTGTATAAATGGAATTAAATGATATTTGGCCTTTTGAGTTTGGCTTATTTCACTTGGCATATCTGCATAGTTTATCTTCAAGTGTTTCCTAGGCACAGTCCCTTGGTTATAATTCTCATAAACTCTTTTTTTTTTCTTCTTTAGGATGTAGGGGGAAAAACTCTGTAATTTTCCAAAGGCAATTTCTCTTTAAACAGTGGAAAAAAGAGGAGGTAGGGAAAGGAAGGAAGATTTGAGTTGTTTTCTCTTTAAATCTTCTATGCCCTTCACAGCAGAGAGTCTGGTTAACTTTTCATAATGCCAAAGACAAAAACCCACGTAATCCTAGGTCATCAGTCATTCCTGATTAAACCTTCAGCAGACGCTTAGGAGTTGGGGCAGCAACTGAAGAGAAATGAGTCTTGATTTTAAGCAATAGAAGGACTAACCCCCATAAATAAGGTACCTGCTTGGAAGGCCGCTGAGACTGTGAACTGCTTAGAGGCGAGCAGAGCAGATGGGAGATGACAAAGATAAAGAATGATGTGGACTTTCACTGGCCAGCAGACTTGGAGACCAAGGAGCAAGTTCTGTATCCATCTATCAACCCATTCAGCATCCATCTATCTGTCTATCAATTCAACAATTATTTCCTGAGCACATGTGTTAATACGAGGGTGAACAGGATATAGTCCTCCTGCTCCTCAAGGGGGTCACAGGTAGGGCTTCCAGATACAGTTGTATAGGGTGTACACTGCATAACTTCAGGGGGCACTCTTTACATCACTGTCTCTTTTGAGTGGTGAAATGTATAACCCATGCAGCTATGCCACAGTCCAAAGAGGAAGATAAGCAAGTAAACAAGCAGTTGTGGTACAGTGTTTAAGATAAGTAAGGAGGAGGACTGTGGGAGCAGAGAGGAGGGATACTTCATCAAGTCGTTGGTCGTGGGGGTGGATTTCACATAGGCTTCCTGGAGAAGGTGATATCTAAGCTGAGCCCTGTGGAAAAATTGGAGTTAGCCAGGTGAAGCTGTGGGAGAAAAAACTTTCAAGCAAAAGAAACAGCGTTTGAAAAGCCCTGGAGGCAAGAGAAAGCTTGGTGCATTCAGGGATCTGGCAGAAGTTTATGTGGTTGGAGGGAGGGATGGGCGAGGAATATGACAGATGAGTTTAGAGAGACTGGCAGGGGCCACATCACAAGAGGTCTTATAGGGCAGGCTAAGGAGCATGGACATTATCCTTAGGGCAGTGAGGATCAACTGAAGGAGGGACATGACGTGGACTTCGTTGCCCTTTAGAATGATCACTGGCTGCTCCGTGGAAGGTGGATTGGAAGGGGACCAGACAGGAAGTGTGGAGTTTAGTTAGGAGGCTGGGGCAGTAATCTAGGTGCAAGATGAGGGGGCCCAGAGTAAGGTCCTGGTGATGGGTTTGGAAAGAAGGAGATGGAGATGAAATATGTTAGGTGGCAGAATTGTCAAGATTTGGTGATTGGTTAGATACCAGAGGCAATAGAGGGTAGGAATGACGGGTGACCCCAGGCTGCTGGCTTGACCCTTGGGTAGATAGTGTGGCCATTTCCTGAGCTCAGCAAGGGCAGTGAGGTTTGTGGGGAAGATGATGAGCTCCATGTGGGATGTGTGGAGTTGGAGGCGTTGGTGGGGCCCACGGGTGTTGATGAAGGTAGCACATGTAGCTGGTGCTCAGGAGGGTGCTATGGGGGTCCTCACACCCCTACAGGCACTGGAGGTGATCACTCAGGGACGCTGAAGGAGTGAGAGGAAAGAAGACCTAGACCAGAACTCCAGTAAGCACTGGCATCTAAGGGACACCCTGAGGTCAAGGAGAGGAGACTGAGGGGAGCGCCCACCATTTGCTTCTTTGTCCTGCTGCTACCGCTTCCTGGGTTTCCAGGTTTGGCTTTGGCCGAAGTAGAGTGCGGTCAGGGTGATCTCTGAGCTCTTAAAATATTCATCACTGCACACCCGACTGTGGGCTTCGAGCCCGGCAAATAGAAGTGCTCATCAGATGTTGGTTGAAAAAAAATGACTGAAAGAATAAATTAAAAAGCGTGACTATAAAGTGCTGAGACTTCAAAACAACATACCAGTGTTTGTAAACCCAAAAACACGCAAAGAAGTCGCCTTAATGAATATTTATCTGCATATGTGAAAGGCTTTTAAATCTATATGCAAAGACAGATACTGTATAGAAAAAGATCCATATTCTGACTACATGAAAATAAAAAATGTAACCAAAAAAAATCATTAAAGATTGAAAGGCAAGTGACAAATTAGGGAAAGTGAAGTACATGACATACAAAGGGCTGGCTGCCTCACTTTACAAGCATTTCTTACAAGAAAAACAAAGATAAATGCAGCAATATGAAAATAAGCAAAAGTCATGGATAGGCAACCCACAAAAGAACAAACACAATAACAAATCTATAAAAAATTTCCATCTTATTAATGATCAAAACAGTCACCTTAAAATAAGATAACATTTTCCACTTACCAACTTGGCAATGAATTTTGAAAGTTCTAAAAATATGCATACTCTTTGATCCACCAGAAATTCCATATCTAGAAATTTATAGTAAGGAAATAATCAGAAATGTACAAAAAATATATACAGGAATATTCATTGCAGCATAATTTTAATAGCAACAAAATTGGAAACAACAAAAACAATCACAGGAAATTACAAATAATTTATGTTTTTGTTTTTAATCTTTTCTACTTTCCACCTTCTACAGGAAAAATAAATGCACTTTGCAATTCAGAAAACAAATAAATGCTGCTTCTCTGGAAAGGGAAAAAAAGTCACCTTGACTACAAATAATCTTTTGGGAGGCTGCCAGCGTTCAAAATCTTCCACGGCCGCCTCTTTAGCAGTCTTCAGAGCTGGTTTCTGGGACACATAGGAAATTGATCTTATTACTCTATCGTCATCATTTCGTTTTGGATCAAATACAGCCCTGATTCAGTTCCATCGCCCACCTGATTCATCTGCCTCTATACCAAACAACTCTAGGGTCTTGTGAAAAACTGCTCTCCCAAAGTAGAAAAATTTCCCCTTTACTGAGGAAATGCAAAGGAATGTTGTTTGGATTTTAGGAATATATATACATATATATTTAGGAACATATACATGCTTATCACAGCACATGGCATATGGAGCTCAATAAACAGTAGCAGTTGTTATTCTCATTTTCTTATTTGCCTTTATTTATTTCCACCGTTGTCTAGGAGGCCAGATTGCTGAGGCCAGATGGGTGAATTCTCCAGCCAATGCTTTTGATAAAATACTGACTCATTCTTTCAGTTTTTTGGGTGGACACTCTGTAGCCTCCCACTTTAAAATGTCAAGATTCCAGGACCCAGAGAAGCAAATGAATAATGTCCAATTAACTGCCCTAGCAATACCTAAGGGCTGTAGGAGCAGACACTGTAATGCCTCCATGCGCATCAGTATACGATCTTTAAGATAAAAGGCTGAGGGGGCCGGCCCGGTGGCTCAGTGATTAAGTGCCCACGTTCCACTTCGGCAGCCCGGGGTTTGCTGGCTCGAATCCTGGGTGCAGACATGGCACCACTTGGCAAGTCATGCTGTGGCGGGTGTCCCACATATAAAGTGGAGGAGGATGGGCATGGATGTTAGCCCAGGGACAGTCTTCCTCAGCAAAAAGAGGAGGATAGGCAGCAGATGTTAGCTCAGGGCTAATCTTCCTCAAAAAAAAAAAAAAAAAAAAGGCTGCATTTATGGCCGAGCCTTGGTCTGCCCTCCACTGCCATCTAGGGGTGAGGAGGGGAAGTGCTGCCACTCCTGTCTGGTAGTACCACTTGGAGAAGACTGTGGATTGCATAATGTCACCTCTAGAGGGAGCTCAAGCTTGTCTTCCCCAACTCCAAAACTGGGTCTGGACGGAGATTGAACATAAAACGAATCAACGCACAGACCTTGGAAGGCAACTGACCTCCGTTTGAATCCAAGCTTTATGACTTTCTCTCTCTGAGTCTCATCCTCTGTTAAAATGGGGATATAATAATGGCTATTTCATGGTGGTGTTATATGATCAACTGAGACAGCAAAACTAATCACCTAAAATAAGATCTGATACAATGCAGGTGCTCCGCAGATGGTCTCTCTAGTGAAAGATTCAAAGCACATGATTAGGCCATACTGTTTGGGGGGGGGAGGGGAGTGTAAAGAGATCGTAAATAGAACTGGTTTGCGGGGGGTTGGGGGAAATTCTCTCGGTCTTTTCTTTCCTTGAAATTTCAGGATTGTGCTTCTCTTTCTTCCCTCCAAGGAATCCAGTGCTGGGGCTGCCTCCCCCACAGGCAGGCTCTGGCCCCTCCAACGGGGAAGACCTATCCATGTTGGAGGGAGTGGAAAGGAGGGGTGGAGCGGATGGCTCAGGACAGAAGGTCTGCATAGTCAGAGAGGCAGGATCAGTAGGTGGGACTGGAAAGGGGAACCAGGGATAGCAAATAGTTTTCGTTTTGCGTATGCAATCTGACTCTGGGAGTGCATGAATGTGCTGAGAAGGAATCCGGAGTTGTGCTCAGGCATGAGTGTTGTGATCAGTTAGCAGTGTCTGCTGTGGTTGTGGGATAGGAGACTGGTGGCACATATGCCACATAGTTGCCCCTTTGTTTTTTTCTGGCAAAGTGCTACTCAATTTTGGTGCAGGGACCAGTGCTGATCTGTAAGCTGTTTGAAACTCATCTGGACAAGGTAAGAACCGAAATTGAGAGTAAGTGTTTAGAAATTTTTAGGGCAATTTGACAGAGTAATTTTATTGAATCTAGTTGAATCTATATTGAATCTATTGAATCTAATAATAAAACACTCAGGCTTTTATTTTGTATGTCTTTCCTCTTATTTTTTTCCCTAGTAATTCACTTTTATTGTGTTTTATAGAATTATTGGTCTATGACAGATTGGAAAAAGGAATGGTACTTCACCAGAGACTTTAAGAAGCACTGGCTAAGAGCTTCAGGCCCAGGGGGCAAAAGAAGTCCTTTCTGCTCCTCTATGGACCACCAAGCTTATTAGGATAGGAGGCGTGGGTATTGCTTAGATTTCTGCAAATCTCCCTCCTGAACCTGCCGTGGGAAGTGATGGTGGAGAGCTCAGGAGTTTGGAATCCTGGCTGCCTTTGCCTCAGAAAATTGTCAATAAACTGAATACTCCCATTTGTTTTTTTGCCTTTTGTCCTCCCAAAGGTTGATTCTTTTGGGAAAACTGAGGCAGCTCAACAAATACAACATAAGTTCTCACAAAAGTTTCCTAGGTGGAATTTTTGGCATGTGTATGTAACCTCCCGTGGAGACTATGGGAAGAGAAGTCACACATGTGGATGTGTTTACAGGCCTCCCATGTGGCAGGTCCTGAGATGCACTGCTGAGTAAATGATACAGATGGCAAGTGTGATGGCCTGCCTGCTATCTCGGTTCTGAATCCTTATAGCTAAGGATATGTTTCAGCTTAGCTATAGATTAGGGCAATCTGATTTCTACGGCAGGCTCAGCAGTCTGAGGAGTAACAATTCCCAGTAAATCATTTATATTGAAATAATAAAATAAGAAGTCTATGGTAGAGAAAAGCTGAGGGCTTTGCAGAGAATTGTAGTCATGTGGGCAGACAATGCACAGGGAGGGGGAGTAGGTGGATGACAGCCCTGCCCCTCAGCTGGGAGCCCTTCCCACTCCACCCAGAAGCAAGACTCTCTTCTCTGCAGCTGAGGCTTTGCACAGTAGCTGCACAGGCTCCATTCCCAGGGAGCTGATAGAGGTCGCATGTCATGGTGGTCCAGAGCCCAGGATGGAGTCAGATAGAAGTGGGTTCAAATCCTGATCCACTGCTTATTAGCTGTGCCATCTTGAGCAAGTTGCCTTGTCTTTGTGACTCACAGTTTCGTCATCTTTAATATGGTGCTAACATTAAGACCTCCTCCTCAGATACTCAGCATCTAAGCTGACGAAAAACTGAGGGCCCACTGGGGCATTCCCTTAGCACACTCTCATAGGGGTGGGCTCTAAAAAGAGTTGAGCTGGGTTGAATGTGAGAAGCCATCTGGTCAAACTCTCTTATCTTTTCAGGTAGGGAAACTGAAGCCCAGAGAAGGGAGTGAAATTCCCTAAGATTAAGCAGCCAATTAGTGCCAGGATTGGGTCTAGACCCCACATTTCTAGACTTGCCGGCTAGCTAAAAAATTCAAAATTGTTATCCCAGTTCAAAAGTGCTCTGAAGCCAAAATGGTTTCCTAGTTTTTTGCTTACTCATGTGTATTGCCAGGGTCCCAGCTGGAGTCTGAGCAGGGATTCACATCAGAATCTTGGCTCACTAGAACACCAGTGTCTCCTGGGAAAGAGGAGAGTGGGCACCCAGTATAACAAGCTTGACTCACTAGTAAATTCTGGTCTTCACTGGGGCCATGTGCACAGTGTCCTGGTTCTCACTTGGTTCTGGGTTCAGCTCTGGACACTTGTGTTGAGGTCTTTGCAAAGAAGAGGATTGTAACTGATCTGTTTTATTAAAAATTCTATAACGTTTGAGTACGAGCAGCACTACTGTGTGACAGTTCTGACAGAGGGTAGCATGAAAGGAGGTGAGAAGCATTCCCCTCACTTGGCTGCTACATCACAGGGCAACTTGACCACCCGGAGGCTTCAGCTGTGGCAGAAGGTGCTATTGTCCAGAGGGGACACAGGAATACCCAGCTGGTGCAAGAGAGAGCAGGCAGAAGCCTGTCATGGTGGAGGTAAGTTTGAGTTATGGTAGACACCACTAGCTGCCCACCCGATACCATGCCTTCTTCTTTGCTAAGTGAACTATCATTTTGTTCAAAGAGGTAATGTGTCTGGCCCAGATTATGGATCTTGTCTAAGCCAGTTATAATAATTCTATATCCCACTTTCCCAGGCTCCCTGGAAATTAGCAATGACCACATGGCTTAGTTCTGGTCCATGTGTCCTAAGGGGCAATCTGCTCTGGGACTTCTGAGAAAGTACTCAGGGTATAAATATGGAGGCCCTTGCCTCCTTCCTTTTTCTTCCTGCCTTGAAAGTGGATGTGATGGCTGGAGCTGCAGCAGCCATTTATTTAGGATCTCCGTTAGGCAAAACAAAACATCAACAAAAAATTCCTCTTATTTGTTTATGCCACAAAGGTCGGGTTTTCTGTTCTTTGGGGCAGAAGGCATTCCTAACTTGATCAATGAGCACATGTAAAGAATACCTGCTGTGGTGGGGCCGGCCCGGTGGCATAGCAGTTAAGTTCACATGTTCCGCTTCGGGGGCCCAGGGTTCACCGATTTGGATCCTGGGTGCAGACATGGCACCGCTTGTCAAGCCATGCTGTGGTAGGTGTCCCACATATAAAGTAGAGGAAGATGGGCACAGATGTTAGCTTAGGGCCAGTCTTCCTCAGCAAAAAGAGGAAGATTGGCAGCAGATGTTGGCTCAGGGCTAATCTTCCTAAAAAAAAAAAAAAACCTGCTGTGGGCTCCCAGGAATGTTGGACTTAGGAGGGAAATGGGTTTTACAGAGAGCTCTGGTGTTCTGTACAGCAATTTGGATTGTAGCATAGTAGTTAAGAAATGACCTCTGAAGCGGGAAAGATTAATAAGAGGCATAGTTATTGGAAAGGAAGCAACAAATACATCATCATTTTTAGATATGATTGTGCATGTAAAAAATCCAAAAGAATCTACACAAAAATGGTTAAATTAATAAGTGAATTTAGGAAGGTCACTGGATACAAGGTTAGTATACAAAAAATCATTTTATTTCTAAATACTAGAAACAAACAAATAAAAATGAAATTTAAAAAATCTATTTATAATGGCATAAAAGACATCAAATATCTAGGAATAAATTGAATGAAAGATGTATAAGGGTCAGCCTCAGTGGTCTAGTGGTTAAGTTCAGTGTACTCTGCTTTGGTGGCCCAGGTTTGGTTCCTGGGTGCAGACCTACACCATTCATCTGTCAGTGGCCATGCTATGATGGTGGCTCACATATAAAAAGATGAAGATTGGCAGTGGATGTTACCTCAGAGTGAATCTTCCTCAGCAAAAGAAAAAAAATGTATAAGACCTAAAAAACAAAAACAAAATCCTATAAAACATTATTGAGAGAGATTAGAGATCTAAAAAAATGAAGGGACGCTTCATCTGGAAGACTCACTATTGTAAAGATAATAATTGTCACCACATTTATTCATAATTTTAATGCAATCCCAGTTAAACAAATCCCAACAGGTATTTTGGTGGAGATTGATGAGCTTGGCAAAGAGCTAAGAACAGCCGAAGTGATCCTGAAGAAGAACAAAGCTGTCTTAATTACTGTAGCTCTATGTTAGTACTATCTGATATGAAGATGGTACATAAAGCTGTGGTAATTAAGAGTGTGGTATTGGCCCAAGGATAGATAGACCAACAGAATGGGATAGAGAGGCAACTACATGGATGAGTCTCGAACATTAGGAGGAATGAAAGAAGCTAGACACTGCAGGGTGCATACATATTATATGATTAGATTTATATGAAGTTAAAAAAGGGGCAAAGATTGTAGGATCTTAGACAGTAGGAAATCAGGATAGTGGTTATCCTGAGATGGGGATGATACTGGCCTAAAGCAAGGTTGACATGAGGGAAGCCATGTTCTAACTTAGAATACCCTCTGACTAACTCACCCAAACTGTATATGTTTGACCCTGCATGTAGCCTAGGAGATAAATAGCTGCGCTTTGGGAAATAATCCTGGCTGATACATGTACCTCCCCATAGTGATAGATGATAACTTTGTTCTTTTCTTAGGAACATGACGACCTCCTCAGAGAAGAACATCTATGTTGGCATCCATGATGGATGACAACTGAAAGACCTGGTATGGCGTCTCCCGTCACCAATGCCAGATGGTCAACGTTCCTGAGCCCCTCCTTCATAGCCCACTAGTCCTACATAACTGCCTTAAGATTGTGTGCTTGTTTAAGATGGTCTTTGGGACATGAGTCGGCCATCTTCCGATTTTGCTGGCTAATTGAATAAATCCTTTTCTCAACCACCAACTCGTCTTGCAATCAATTGGCTTTAAAGTCGCAGTGAGCAGAATGAGCCCTTGCTCAGTTACAGACGTAGGGACTAGAACTGAGCAGGAGGGCACTTCTGGGGTCTGATCACGTTCTGTTTCTTGATCTGGGTTAATTTCATTTCATGAAAATTTCTTGAGCTGTACATTTAAGACGTACGTTTTTCTGTATGTCTATTATCCTTTTATAAAATGTTTACAATTAAAATTTAAAAACAATGTGGCCTCTGGAGTCAGATTTCTTGGGTTCAAATCCTGACTTGGCCTCTTATTGTCTGTATCCTTGAAGTTACCTAATGTCTGTGTCTCAGTTTCTGCATATGCAAATTGGAATGAAAATAGTACCTACTTCATAGAACTATTGCAAGGAGCAAATGAGTTCATACATATAAAACCCTTAAAACCGTGTCCGGCAAATAGTAAGCACTCTATCAAGATTAACTATAATTATGCCTAGTATGTGACCAATTTGCAACCCAAGCCTGGTGAGAAACAAAGGTTACACTTCATAGCTAAGGAAAGAATTGGGAACAGATTAACGTCTGGGTTTTGTAGCCAAAATGATAAAAACCAAGATGGTCTCCCAAACGATTTGCTTGTTTGCTTGCTAGCTAAACAGTCTCCAAACCCAGATGGATTCAAGCCAACAAAAGAGCTTGCAATCCACCTTGGAGTTCAGTTCTTCCCTAACTAGTTAGCTAGCTCTGAACTTGAGGGAAGAGATTTCCTCATTATCTTGCAGATTAAACAAAAAGGCAATTCAAATTCTTTGCTCGTTAATTCGTTAGCTAGCCAAAAGCTTAAAATCGAAGACTGCTCCCAGCTTTTTGCTTACGGTTGCCCTCAGGAAGACATTCCTAGTTGTGAGTTGCTAAAGGACAGAATCAGGTCAAGATGATTCTAGGTCTTTGCTGGCTGATAGGATGGAAAGACTTCACCTTGCCTTTCTCCCTCCAGAGGCTATCTGCCTTTAAGCCCTCTCTCTAATTAGGGAAGGAAAGCTTTTGTCCTCCTGTGAAAGGGTTTTCAGGCTTCAGGGATCAGACGCAGAGGGAGAGAATGCTGGATCCTTGGTAGAGGACACAGAACACTAGTATGCCCTGTGGTGGAGGGACAAAATAGGAGCTAGTCACAATCCTGCTCTTTAGAACAAATGTCTGCCAGCTGGTTCACAATGTCACCTGGTCTTTTTTTAAGATAGGAAATTAAATGACCACACCTGTAGTTGTTTCTGCACGAAGCCTTTGGAATAGAAGCCTTGTCTTTCCAGATCCCTGGGGCAAATTAAAACAGCAGAAAGCTCTGATGAAAAACCAGAGACAAGCTGCTCAAACAACCTCTCTTTCTCTGGTGCTGGCACCCTTCAAAGCTGAGTACATCATTTGTTTCTCTCTTTGGGGCCCTGCAGCCATCCCAAAGTCTGTCTGTTTACTCGCTGGAGAGCAGGCACTTGGAGAGATGGATGTGGGTACAGAGAAGCTGGGCTCCGTCTCCCCTCGGCTCATCTGGGATAATTATTACACTGCATAGTCAGAGGAAGAATATTTCTTTGTTTAAAGGCCAAAGCAGGCAATGATATACGAGGCTCAGCTACCAGAGTGAGAAGGAGAACACAAAGTGGTTAAGAGCTAGGGAGGGGTTCAGACCCCATCTCTGCCACTGAAGAGATGTGTGTGACCTGGGGACTTCTGAACGTGCATCCCCTGGCCTATTCAGAGGGGCCAAAAGTACCTACTCCAGGATGAAGGGAGATCATGCGTGGAGAGAACTGAGAACAGCGACCAGCAACAGCAGTCCCTCGGTGAATGACAGCTTTTATTTTTATTATTCATGTCAAGTGGTGCCTCTTATGGCTTCTGAAATTACAGCCAGTCTTCTTTGACAGCATTCTCTGCTTTGAGTCTTCCAAATGAATTTTGTGGTTGGAATGTTTGTCTGTCTCCGGTGGTCTGGCATTCTAGTTAATCAGGCCATGGACGTCTGTTCCCTGGAGACATTTCGCCAGGATAATGGGTAAGAAATTGAGTTAGGGGCTGCTACAGTTTTCTCAACATTGTCCAATCATACCTCTCTGATCTCAAGGGCAGGGCAGCCTGGCTTTTGTCTCCATCTTCAAAAAGCTGTAAGTGTGGGTGCCAGGTGAGTTCAGGCCTCAGCAGCTGCTCATGCCATTTGGAGGGTTGCCAGGGAGAGAGAGCGAGGCACGCACCCATGTTTGTCCGCCATTGTCTGCCCACAGCTGGGGGAATAAGCAGGGCGCTCTCCCAGACTAGCCCCTGCCGATGTGGTGGCCTGGCCCACTTCGTGCTTGCAAACTCTAGATTTTGACTCCAGCCTTATGTTACTTCTATGTGCCTTATTTCTGGGGTCCCCCCTCAAATAATGATAATATCTTTATAATAATAATATTAATATCAGTTACCATTTTGTAGACTCTCCCACACGATACTTGGCCCTGGGGTCACATCCTGGCTTGGCCATTTATTAGTTATGAATTCAAACTATATGACTTTTACCTAAACCAGTGGTTCTCAAACTTTGCTATATGGTAGAATCATCTGGGAAGGTTTTAAAAATTCCAATGCCCAGGCCACACCCCCCACTAATTACATCAGAATCTGCAGGAGCAGGACCCAGGCATCAGCATTTTAAGCTGACACCAATGTATCGCTATCTGAGGACCAGTGAGCTGACTCTCCAGGCCAGCCCCGCCCCTTCCACTCCGTGTGGTCCTCAGACCAACTACATCAATATCACCTGGGAGCTTGCTAGAGCTCCTGGACCTCGGGCCCCACCCCAGACCTACCGAATCAGAATCCCCGGGTGACTCTCCTGCACATTAGAGCGCATGGGAGAAGCCCTGGTCTAAGACTCGCTCTCCTTATCAGTAAAGTGGGGGTAATGATAACACCTGATGTGTTTCTCACTTACCTCCTCATGAGAGTCGCCTGGAATGCCTGATGAAAATACAGTCGTCATGCCTCACCCCAGTCGCACTGAATGAGAACATCCAGGACGAGAGTTTGTGAATCTATATTTATACCGCGTTTCTCCCAGGAGATTCCTATAACTGCGCAAGTTTGGGACATGCTGAGTTATAATCCTCAAAGGATTATTGTCAGGATTGAGAAAATAAAGCTCTATTTTTTTTATTATTGTCATTTATCAAGCGTTTGTGTGACTGAATGCTAGCTGTTTTGTGCACACTCTGATTGAATGAGATAAATATTATTGTCTCCATTTTACAGAGAAAGAAACTGACTTTCAGAGAAGGAAAGTGACTTTCTCTAGGTCACACAGCTGGGGCATGACTGAGCCAGGCTGACACCAAAGCCTGGACTCTCGCCACTCCCTGTTCTCATGGAAGTTCAGGTCATGCTTTTCTTTCCCTTCAAAAGAAATCTCACCTTCAAGCCAGCTAATAGAATTCTAGATTCATCTACCAATTCAGGTTCCCGCCCACCTGGTTTAGTCCCCAAATATTTACTGAGCACCTAGTGTGGGTCAGACACTGTGCTGGGCGGTGAGGGTGCAACCGTGAACAAGACAAGCATGGCTCATTGGAGCTTAGAGCTCAGTGAGGGAGACAGACCACATGCGAGTCATGACATAAGAGGTAGTTAATCACAAGACAAGTGCTAGAAGGATGGCATACTCCAAAAGCACAACATAAGGGACTCTAGTCTAGTCTGTGCAGCTGGGGCAGGCTTCCTGGAGGAAGTGACTTCGAGGCTGAGGCTTGAAGGATGAGAAGGACTTACCAGGTGAAGAGGTGAGGGGAGGGTGTACCAGGCAGAGGGGCCGGCATGTGGGAGGTCTGGCAGCAGGGTGTGTCTGTGGGACCAACAGACTCAAGCTCCCAGCTTCCGACCCAGGGTTTTACCTAGTGCATCCAGCCTCTGCCCTGGTGTCGGAGTGACCTAAAATACAGCATTCCCACTCCAGCCCTCTGGTCAAAATGCCTCTGACTGGCTCAAGTCCCAGCACCTTGGCTGGGAATTCCTCCACGGCTCCCCAGGCAGAGGTAGTTAACCCCTGCTCTATGCTCCCATGGTACCTTATTCATGCTGTATCATAGCTGAGGCAGACCATAGACATGTGGGCACCTTGGGCAGTGTTTTATCGAGGATGGACCAGATTATGGTTTAGTAGTAACAGATTAGGCCTGAAATCTCAGTGATTGAACTTAACAAAAATGTATTTTTTTAATAGCAGTATTGAGATAAAATTCATATATTATAAAATTTACCGATTGAAAGTGTACAATTAATGGCTTTTGTCTACTCACAGAGTTGTGCAACTATCACCACTATCTAATTTTAGAACATTTTCATCACTTCAAAAAAGACACTCTCTGCCTATTAATAGTTTCTCCTTATTCCTTTTCTCAACCCAGCCCTAGGCAACCAGTAATCTATTTTCTGCCTCTGTGGATTTGTCTATTCTGGACACTGCGTATAAACGGAATCAAACAATATGTGGCCTTCTGTGTCTGGCTTCTTTCACTGACGATAATGTTTTCAAGTTTCCTCCATGTTGTAGCATGTATCAGTAGTTTCCTTTTTTATGGCTGAATAATATTCGATTGTATGGATATACCACATTTTATTTATCCATTCATCAGTTGATAGACCTTGGGTTGTTTTACTTTTGAATTATTATGAAAAACTTCCTTCTTTTTTTTTTCTGAGGAAGATTAGCCCTGAGCTAACATCTGTGCCAGTCCTCCTCTATTTTTTTTTGTATGTGGGACACCTCCACAGCATGGCTGGTAAGTGGAGTAGGTCTGTGTCCAGGATCTGAACCCATGAACCCAGGCCGCTGAAGTGGAGTGTGCAGAACTTAAACCACTCAGCCATGGGGCCAGCCCCAAAAATTTATTTCTTGATTGGTCGCAATCTGCTGAGAGCCCCTCCAACCCCTGGGGCAGGGTCCTCCATGTGCTGACACTCAGTGAGCCAGGCCGCTTCAGTTTTGTAC